CTAAAAACCCTCAGTGTGTTATGCTACGCTCGACTAAAAGATGCAACGTGATCAAAAATTGGTAATTGCAGAGCGGGGAAACGACTTGATCCATTGTAAGGTTTATTTCTGGTGATCAGTTGATTTGTCACTGACGAGCTATTACTGTTTTTGTCTCTTTTGATAGAGAGAAGACCCGGATCTGGAGGCTAACGAGCGAATGTACTGAGATGAAACGTCCACTCGCTTGGCTTGTAGATAAACTTTGAAAAGGCGCCATTACATTGCAACGCGAGTCCAGAAGTAGTACCGACTATTAATTTATTCCTTTTTAGAGATTGTAAGACTAAAGTAGAATATTCTGAAATAAAACGATTTGAAACCAGTCAAATGAACAGTATTCTAATTGCTTGTCCCTAGTTTTATCGTCGGGGGGGGGGGGGGGGGGAATTAGACTAAAAGACCAAAGAAATATCATGTTGATGGCATTTGTCCAGATTCAGTAATGTATTACAAAGGAAATTTGGGAATGATCTACCCTCAAAGCTTAAAAACACATTTAAAACAAATAAATGTTCATTAAGTCGATTTCCTTGATAAAAAGAAGGCTTGTCATGAAGCATACATCCATCTGATTTCAATAAGAAGGCGAATGCAAGTAGTTCTATAACCCGATGTTGATCCGATTTTCATCCTATTACCATGCAAATAAACGAAGTTATGTGCATGACACGCTAGCGACACCTTTTACCTGAAACAAGGTTAAATACTTAATATGGCTTCGCTTTAAACCAAAAGTAGTCAAAGTAAACACGCCGCATTTAAAATTCAGCTGTCGGCACAATGTGAGATAATACAAGCAGTGCACGATCTGCTTTCAAAAGGAAAAAGCACACAAGTTACGATTCGCTTTCAGGCATATTGGCCATTCTGTAGACTCCATGCTTTGTCATCAGAGAAATTACTACAACCTTCACAGTAGCCTGGCACATATGAGTTGATACGTGATATGTTAACAATCCTGTGTAGCTTTTTGAAAATTAACTCTTCGATGCATTAAGACTCTAAAGAAAACCGATCATTAGAGAGAGAGGGGATCATTTTTGACAACAAAGAAGACAATATCGGTTACAGAATCATTGCTTGCTGTGTTAAGAGTTCCCCGGCGGTTTAAAATGCGTGTTGGAATACTCAACAATAATTCTGAGTTATATCGTCAGTGTTTTAGTGTAGCTTCTTTAATGACCGCTGTGAACATATGAAAATCATGTAAGTGAACTGCGGATCAAGAAATTAATACGAAAACGATCTTTGCAGTAATGAACACTACCTGCGCAGTAGTGAAAATAAGGCCTGAAAGATTAAAGCCTGTACGGGATTTGAACCCATGACATCTGCGATACCTATGAATGACTTTCATATAATATATAGATTTAGCCAAGCCTAAAAGCAGAGCTCTTGTTAAGTTATTTTCCAGCCCTTCATTACACTAAATAAAAACTGTAATAAAACACGTCGGCACAGGCTGTAGAGGATTTTCTTCAAGAGGATAAGAGACCAGACGAGGTCTGGAACCTGGGGGCGATGTTCTTAAAACACGCATGCTAGTCAGCGGTATCTTCAACAGCTTAGGACCTTTGTTGTTGTTCCTGATGGTTTGAACAAACATTCGAAGATAGGGAATGTTATCTTCTTCAGATGAAGTGTATGATGACAGTATCAGTTGAAATTATGTTCTATTGAGCGTGACTTATAAGTTCGGTTTGGGAAAATGAGCCAAAATTGAAAGAAACGACGGTAAACAACTTTGCGTCAAGACATCACTAGTCGATTGGAGTGTATACACGTGAGCACAGTGAGTCAGTAAAACAATACGCCAGGATCGTATGGGCTTCTCTTATATCTTCTCTTTAAGTTTCCAGGTATGACTGCTTGCCCCACCATTTTTCCCTAACGTTTCAACCTCCTCTGTTCAGCGTAGAAAATTAAAAAGAAAAGTAATTTTCAACTCATGTTTGAACCTGTAATTTTTTTAAACTTTTTTGCTTTCGGCTATTGTTTCATGACTGTCCTCTGGCTGGAAATACACGACGTCTTTTTCTCATATTTTCTGTTATTTAATTCGGTAACCTTTGGTGTAACTGCATTTAATGGGGATGTCTACAAGAAAAAGCGAGATAATACCTGGATTTCCTTTCCACGTCATAGAAATCAATTCCAAACATCAATCAAGTTTTCTCTTTCGTTTAAAAGTTGAGTTAATGTTGTTATTGGCTATATTAAATAGGTTGAAAAGTTTGAGATGGTATTTTCTCATGTTTGCCATTAATTGAATTTACTGGAAGGTGGAGTTATTGTAACATGAAACGCAACAATAAATTTATTGATATATAAAAAGTTTTCAGTCATTTGACTATCTACTGGCAAGTCTTTGTATTATATTTCAACTCAACCATTTTCCACAACTTGTAAACACCATTAAAAAATAATTAATCAGGGAATGGAAAATTTGTGGCATATAAGCCATGTTGAAATTCCATGTCCACAATAAGCTAACAGGATCAAGGAGGGTGTATTTGGGTGTAGGTTCTCTTGTCTGTATCATCAATTTGCTTATTGCTCCTGTTGGCAATGTTTTGATGAGGTTGGGCTGTCTGGCCAAGGGAACTGAGGATTTCAGTAAGCAGTGACTTTTTTCAAACCTGGAAACTATCATTGTGAAAGCCACACTTGTGCCTGTTAACTCATTCTTATTCTGATTAACTAGTTTTAAGAAGGATACAATATTTTATTATATAAATTTGATGCATAGGTTGTGCACAAAACTTTAATTTGACTGAAATTTTATAGCCAATACCAATCCCTACATATAATAAAATGTTAGGAGGATCAGAGGAAAAAATAATGTGCCATACATCTGCAAGATTTCATGTAATTATTTTTATTACATAAATATTAACTGATACTAGGAGATCTAAGAATATTCAAAAGAAAAGAAAATTTGGTTGAAAAATTAGAATTCAGCATGGGCTAGATAAACAAGATTCTTAGGAAAAGAAATGTGTACTAATGGAAAAGCTAAGCAAACTTTTTTACACCACCTGCCTGTACCTTTATGGTACACAAGTAAAGTCATTTGAAGAAGTCATAATCCCAGGTTTATATGTTGAAAACACATGCAGATTCCCTCTAACTCTGTAGTTCAAACTTGTGATGACTTTGAAATTTTGATGCACACCTCAAAAGGAGAACAAATAAATTTTAAGTTTCTATTTATTCAGTTTACATGTTGGTTAGTGAGGTAAAATTGAGTCAAACATTCATACGACAACAGGTTCAAGAAATTTTCACAACTAATTTTTGAGGTTAGCCTACCTGGAACAATCACCTTCAAATTAAACCAGGTTTGTACTGATGATGCCCAAAATATTTATCTGTGGTAAGAGGGAAGCTTTTCTTTCTTCATTTAAAGAAATACGAAGGTTATCATCTTTCCACAAGCTCAGTGGAAATTGAGAGGGAAAGAGACTGATAGTGACTATGTTATTTGGATAAATATCCAAAAGAGGATAAAAATTAAGATATGGTCTACACAACTTTCATTTCAATTTTTTAACCTATTAAGCTAAGGAATTTTTATTCTTGCTTTTTGCATTATGTGGATACCAATTAATTTAACTTTCATGCATCAAAATACAAAAAATGTTCTCTTCATCTATGTGCCCTAAACATTAGGGACCTTAAGATCCGAGGACGGCGGATGTCTACGACGGCGAGCGGAAGTTTGAATGCGTGTTTACTCACTTCCGGTAGCCGTTCCCCGTAAATTCCCGCCGTAGCTGTGTTGTCTGCGACGTCAAAACAACCAGTTTGCCGTTTCTTACAAAACGTGAGTTGATTACAGTGTTTTTATAAAATATCTTTTATAATTTTCGTATATTTTGCGCATTATGGAGTCAATAATATTTTTAATTCGTTTGCCTACTCTTCTGAGACCTGATTTGCTTCTCCACTAAACAGGTCGTGGCTGCAGCCGACAAGACTTCTAAGAAGATTGCTCAGTAAGTTCTCTTACTCTCCTTTCTTCACGTTTTTAGCAATGAATGAGGTGGAACTCGACACGAGTTACGCTTAGTAAATGATAATCTCTCGATTATTTATGTTTGTGAAAGTGTCTTGCATATTTGGTGAACAAAAAAGGGTTCTGCTTGCAGTAAAAAATAAAATACAAACAACATGCTACACAAACAAAAAGAAAATAGGCGTTAACATTTTATTTTTATCTTTAGAACCAACATGGAGTGGACTGAACAATATGACAATATTCTTTGTCAGGAGATTCTCGTTCTTGAACCATTCAAGGCAAAGATAAAAATAGCGAACAATCTGAACAGCCTTCAACATCCCCAGTTCAGAGTGACGAAGCAATCTGTCTGTTGAGTGACAAATTTAGAGCAAAGATGCGAGACGAAGAAAAGGCAAGAGGAATCGATACAGATTTGAGTGACGTTGAAAAAGCACCGGAGGAGATAGAAAAAGAAGCTGTGGTTGAAGAAACAGCGCAAAATAACAAAAAGAAATTCAATAGTGATAAAGCAGCGGAAATGAGATACAGAACCTTGGCAGGACACAGAAAAGACAAAGGAAAGATGAGATAGAGAATGAAACAGCGGTGGTGACACGGTGGCATATTTGCGAGAAAAGAACGACCTCATGCAGAAGTGGAAAATGGAAGAAATGCAGCTACAGAAGAGGCGACTAGAGGCTGAAAGTAAGAAGGAGGAGTAGTCCAAAAAGCAACATCAGGATTTGATGCAGGTCATGCTGCAGCAAACTAAACAGCAACAAGAACAAATGCAAAATTTTCAGAAGATGTTCACGCTAATGCAGCAGCAGCAGTCTCAAACTATCATAAAACTTCTAGAAAAAGAAAACTAAGTCATGGCCTGATTTTGTACTGTGCAAGATGAATGAAGTTTTCAACAATTTCAGGCATGTGTTTCTTGATTTTGTTTTGTACACTTGCTTTTGTTTTATTGTTAGGTTTTCCATGTTATATCAGCTTCATGTTAAGACTTTTGATTCAATAAACTTGATTAAAGACTTAATGTTACATTGTTACTTACGTTTTTTCTTCCTGGGTTTAGGAGTGTATCATTCCACTGAGGTATTCTGTGATTATGTTCCTGATAAATTGTATCAACTACAAGGCTGAAAATCATACTTAGCTCTGGAACCGGGCGGCCGAATCGTGGAATTAAATCGCTGAGTCTACATGGGTACGTAAACCTTCGAACTGCGATACACAACCCTTCAATTCCATCGCATATTGTTTCTTGTTGACATGTAAAGTAGCTAGGAAGATGTAGGGCCTCAAAAAGGACGGGAAGGTCACTCTTGCGAAAACGAAACTCGGATAAACACTCATTGTCATCCATATCATTAAGGTCAAATTTCCCATAACTTTCATAAGGAAAATCTGGGTTTTTGAATGTGTTAACGTCATAAAGAAGAAGGAACTCGTCCTCTGATATATCGCCATCATCAAAACTTTGTAGAATAATCCTGCGAATCTCTCTAAAGGAAGCCATGACTGAAGTACTTTATGAGAAAAATTGAAAATATGTAAACAATGCCGCCCGCGCCTTCGACTTGGTCTCTTAAGGATTTTTCGCGCCTTGCGACGGCAACCTCTTCCCAGTCCCCCCTCGGTCATGACAGCCGTCGTAGACATCCGCCTTCCTCAGATCTTAAGGTCCCTATTACAAGGGATGAGGCAGATCAAAGTAAAAATATGAATTAAAACAGGAGGCCCCCATTAATTTTAGTGCTAATTAAAGGAGGATCCTTGTTTTTCCAGATTCCCACCCTTTAAAACTCACATATCTTGTGACCATTTGGTATGAATATTGGTAAGAAACACCATGCAATAATGAAAGTTTGAGCAAGAGTATTAAATGCAATCTTAATAATAATATTGCATGTTACAATGTGGTAACTTACTCAGCAAAATTATATAATCACACAATTCCAAACAAAGGAAGTCAGGTTATTGACTCACCTACTTCAACTTTTGAGAAATAGATATAGTAAACAGTTATAATTAATGCAAAGTTGAAAGTTTGAAAGCTAAGAGGTATACATCACTATCATCAGACCCTATGCATCATTGCAAAAAAAGGTCAATTACCAGGAAATCATTAATTTTTGTTACTAGGTGGTACTGTACTTAAAATACTTTTACTGACACAAATACATTTTTCTAAAGTTATCTCAAAGCATATGACTGTACGGGTCATGTGGATGGTTCCTGCATGGGGACTGACATTTCAATTACCCCAGCAAACTTTAATCATCAGAATTGCAAGCTGAGGTGTATTTACCAAGTGCTCAAGTTTCCAAATTAGTCACCTAACTCAGTTACAGTGGAGTTCACTCCTTTTTGAGGCTATGTTGAGCTTGATCATCCTGTTACATGTGAAAACATCAAATGTTACTCACATACTCAAATAATTACCTGAAAAAGGACGCAACTACATTTTCCCGACAAGCCTGTTTCGTGAATCGCTTCACTCTTCAGGGGTTTAATTTATATATATATATATATATACACATACACCTATATCTATACATATAGATATACACCCGTATATCTTAACAGAAGGGGCGGAGAAACTTGTGAAAAGGAAAACTATTTTCCACCAAGTTAAAGCTTTGATACTTCAGCGATGCTAAAACAAAAACGAAGGAGGCCTTGAATGCAGAAAAAGTGATCTGTCACTTACGATTGTCAAACGGTTGTTTGCTCTCACTCAAAATCCCTCTGATGAAGATTTTGTGAAAGGATATTTACTTTCCATCCATTTCGTATGACAAACAAGTAGGATGAATGTGAATTAAAGCGCAGCTCGAAGCGTGCGCGCAGCGAGGTACCATATCTATAAAATTTATAAAGCCGAGAAAAGTCGGTCTGTCACGTAATCATAAGTCCGTGCGTGTAAGTTGCTATATTAAACATGTGAAGCAATTGCAATGTGGACACAAATTTAGGCATTAAGTAACTAGAGGGGAAAGGGAGAAGGTAACGTGCATGACGATTACGTGTGTGACTTCGAAATACCATTCGTGTGCGCTAGCCTTTTCGCAGGCAAACGTACGAATTCGCACGCGTTCTGACCATTTCCGTATTAAAAATCTCACTAGTATGTAAATGCCTTGTCAAGGAACACTTCAAACATTTTTTATGCTCGGCTTTATTTACCCCAAATTATGGCATAAGCACCCATATGTAGCAAAATAGTCTTTTAATGACAGCAAACTTTCTTCTGAGTAAAATGATAAGCAGTTTATTGGGGTTAAATTAAAATGTGATGAGCTGTAGTCCGATCCAGTATCGGCTTACGTCATAGAAAAACAAAGAGTCCCCAGAAACCTGCCAGCGAAAGGGATAGGAAACACGTGTAGAACATGAATACTTGAACACCGGACCTCGATGTAGCATACCGGGGGCACAAGGTTAGGCATGCACACATCAGCGAAACCAGTAATTTAAATGTAAGAAAATATTTGTACACTTTAAAATAGGCTAGAAACTGGCGTTTAACAGTCGATTCAAGAAATAGATATCACTCACTCTTAAGAATCAAGTATCCAGCATGCGATGAAAACGCTTTTACTGGCAGATGAATGATCAATAATTTCAAAACGAAGAAACTAAGCATTTCTTTCAATAAAAATAAAAAACGACGAAACAAAAGGCAGTCAAAATTTAAGGAAAGAAAAATCACTGAGAATGCTAAATTGATGGCAGTCTTGACGAGTAAATTTGCTCGGTTCTTTTAACCGAGTTTTGGGAGAATTATGTTTGGTATGCTTTCAATTTGTCTCCCTTGACCAAAAACTTGCTTTCTCTAAGTCACAGTTACTGAAAAATCTGGTGGTATTAGCAGATGGAATAAGCGGAAAGTTTTAACCCTGCAGAGCCTCAAATAAACCTCATCTGAGTAAATATTGACTTGAGAAGTACGTTGGAGTGTATAGCCATTTCAGGGTAAGATCTGTTGTCGTAACATTATCTTTTTTACGATTTTCGGAAATCAACTTTCCCCTCCATCTTCCCCTCTATTAGCAAAAACTGTTTTCAAAACTTGGGTTCCTATTCTAAATATAAAATTCCTTATTTCTTATTGCCTCTAGAAGTAATCAGTGAATTAACGAGCGAGTTTAACATGGCACATGTTTGCCACAATGTTTGGTTGACGGGGCAAGTTTGACAAATGCCTGTAGCGGGAACGATGCGACAGAAACAAAGTGGAAGACGGCAGACAATAACAGCTCCAACTACTAAATAAGTTGTCTTAAGTGGCTTGTTTTCCCTGGTGAATCTGTCCACTTTACCTTGGGGCAGTTGTTTAGCCCTTATCTTCCTTTACTTGCACCGGGTTCATGATACAAAAGGATATAAGCGAAGGCAATGAAAACGATACATAGCCTAAAGACAAGGGATACTATAGAATAATAAACTGGAAACAACTTTAACAAGCAGAAAATTCCACTCAAGATTGCAGTAATCCAAGCTACAAACACACAGCTGATTTCAGGTTGTTACTGTTAACGTTTGAATAGTGCATTGTAAACTTGATCGCTATGAGCCTGTCGAAAGTAAACAACTTTAGATGAAGACATGAAATATTCACAAATGAAGTCATTACATGGTGATGGAAGGTTTTCAACAATGTCACTGCTGCTGAGACCAAACATAAGGAATAACCTCAACAGGACATACGATGGCTGGCCAAAATGACCGGTTAATACATAATTCACCGCTAAACAGGCAAGCAAGATGTTGTTGTAGGTTCGGAGTCGAAGTCTTCCTTTCAGGGCCTTTATCACCAGCGCGTTCAGCAGAACTGGGGAGGGAGAAGTGATACTGTTATGGGCCGGGCGGAAGCTGACGTCAATCGATCCGACAACGCCGCATCAGCGATGCATGGGTCACTCGCTTTTACTTGACATTTGCGTTGTCATACTTGACTGAAAAATTTTGATGGTCGAACAGGGCTTTTATTCCTTGTTTACCCATCAAAAAGTAGATTTACACGATGACAAAAAAAAAAAAAAAAAAACAACAACAACAACAACAACAACAACAAAGATTGCAAAAGAGACTACGGTGGAACTCCGTTAATACGGCCACCTACGGGCCATGGAAATTTATTTAAATTATAAAAACGGGGTTTTTAGAAATCTCGTTCATATTATCGCAAAAGTGCAAAATAAAACGTATTTCAAAAATTGGTCAAGCATGATAAATGTTTAAGATAGACACCTTATTTCCTTAAGATGTCTCTGTCGTTGTCGATGCCCGACATTTTCAATATGTTTGCCTCGATGGCCATTTTGTCCTCGCAGGCATCTCAACTAGGCCATTGCGTCGTAAACCTGCGATGCCGTGCCTATGCAAAGGATAACATATGGGTAGAAGTCAGTCAAGTATATTTTGACTAGTGTTCTCGGACCAAACGGCAAAGAAAAATCTCCAGTTCCTATTTACTTATTCTTATTGAGTTTTGCGAACGATTACCACGACTCAATCCCTGTTAGAGTTAGATACTCAATCAGTATCTCTCGTGCAATTATACGTGACAGCATTACACGAATGGATATCCCGGATGCATGAACTTCGATTAACTGCGCTTGCTTTGCGATGTTCCATCCGGGCTACCGCCACTGAGAT